TGAAGGTTTACCACTGAGAAACAAAAACACACTAAAAAAAAAAAAAAAAAAAAAAAAAAACAAAGGGGGGGAGAAAAAAAAATATAATTCGCAGAGTAGGTTCTGCGGGAAAAAATGGTTAAAATATTAGGTATGAAACTATTAAAAATAATAATGACAAGGGTCAACCACTTATATAAGGTTATATTTATATCTACCGTTGCATTGTGCCGGATCATTGTCCTTGGCCGTTGAATAAACTGTTTTTAAAATGCATGATTCTTGATGTTTTTTCTTTAGCTGGAAGCTATAACCCAGTCATTCCTGACACTAAGCAGCTCCAGGTTCCTACCTCTTCACCCTTTCCAAAAGACTGCAGTATCGGCGGCTGTGAGAGCGCGCAGCAACCCTCCAGCCGTGCGAAAGCTGGGCAGCCTTCTCCCCATCCAAAGGCTTCTCCTGATAATGAAATTATCATTCATCTTTATTTAAACGCAGGGGGTTTTTTGTCGCTTAAAAAACCCCAAAAACCGAAAAAAACCCCAAAAACCCCCAAAAAACTCCCAAAACCACCAAAAAACCAAACCCCTGCTAGAGAGTCTAGAAAAGAAAAGACAAAAAATGCTCTGTTACGAAGTGACTCCAGATACTGCGTCTCTGCTAGAGGGGCAGCGAGCCTCGGCCTCCGGAAAGGTTGCTTAGCAAAGCCGAAAGCGTTCCTTGCTTTTCTAACCGTGAAGGAAAAACAAGGAACCAAAAAAAAAATATTAAAAATTAAAAAAAAAAACCGGATCTTAAGGTGTTATTATCTTAAGGTGTTATTATGTAAATGTAGATACTTTAACAAGTGCTTGTTGGCAAAAAAACAACCAAACGTGGAAATGATAAATATGATCTTTATTAATACGCATACAAAACGCATATGAAGTTTAATTGCAGGCATATTTGTTGCTTATTTTTGTCGATACTTATTACCTGTAGATGACAAAGAAACATAATATAAAATGCACACGGTACTTCTTTCCCAGTGTATTTCACACCTGTGGTAAACGTTACGCTGGATGTTTCGATTATGCTGTTGTGGATAAGGATGCGGTATATATATTGTTTTATAAGTTATGTTTTGTGATTATTTTTTTTTCAAAATTAAGAGCATGGGAATAAAACAAAACAAAACAAACAAAAAATTAACAAAACAGAAACGAAATCTAGAAATGCCTTTAATGTTCTTTTCTGGCTGTGTTGAAGAGGTGGACT